AGAATTTCATTGATACATAACCCTCTGAGTGAAGAAATTGCTCCTCATCTCAGTCCTGAATGATTGGTGTCTTATCCCAAGACTGTGCTCCCTCTCTATATTTTAGTTTCTCCCAACCAGTGGGAATAATCCCTCACAGTCTAACCTGTCAGTCCCTTCAGATTGGAGACAATAAGGACTGCAGATGCTGGAAGCCTGAGTCCTGACGAAGGGTTTTGGCCCGAAACATTGACTTTCCTGTTCCTCTGCTGTCTGACATGCTGTGCTTTTCCAGCCTCACACCTATAGCCTCTTCAGATTCTTGTATGTTTCAACGAGTTCCCCTCTCATTCCTCTAAACTTCTGAGAATATCAACCCAATTCACTCAACTTCTCAACAATCCCAATCCCCTCACTAAATTCAGTGAACCTTCACTGCACCACCTCCAACACCAGTACATCCTTTGTTAACTATAGAGACCAAAACAGTACAGTACCTCAGATCTATAGACTCTGGCTTCCAGCATCTGCAGTCCTTATTGTCTCCAACCTGAAGAGGCTGACAGGTTAGACCCTGAGAATTCTCCCAAGGTTGAATGCACCATCATTGAATATATAACCCTCTGAGTGAAGAAATCGCTCCTCATCTCAGTCCTCAATGATTGGCCTATTATCCAAAACTGTGCTCCCTCCCTGTATTTTCGTCTCCCCTGCTTGTGGAAACATGTTCTCCCTGCGCAGTCTATCCAGTTTATTCAATCCTCCGAAACTTACTGTGGCAGGTTTACAAGAATGGGATGTAGAATCCCAGTGTGTCAGCCATACCCCAGATACAAGGCTCATGTAACATCTCCCTCAGTGAGTCACAGGTTAATTAGTTCTCTGAATTGTATTGATGGAGAAAACCATATATTTTATGAACAAAAACAGAAATTTTATGAACACTGAGTTAGCTGATCATCAATGGGGCAATGGAAGGGGAGCTCATTGAAGGGTTCTCATGAGGCAATAGTGACCAGACTGGTGGAAACTCTTCGATGGATTAAATACCTTGCTACTGGTAGTAAATATTGCGCATTGCATCTTTTAAAAGAAGAAAAACATACTTGAAGCAGTGGAAGATATCATTAGAGAATGGGGATGTGGGATAAATGCTGGCTTGACCTCACAAACAGCCAACACAAACACAGTGGGCAAAATGGCCTTTTCTATGCTATGGAATTCTATGGTCCAGTCAGAATCTTGGAGGCCATTCAGCTTATCCTGTGTTAGTTCTCTTTACCTTCTCTTTCACCAGAGCCCTGCAATTTTCCCCGAAAATATTTATCCAATTTTCTTTCAGAGGTGCTTCCACCACCTCTTCAAGAGATGCATTTCAGATCATAATTAGTATCTGTGTAAAACAATTCTCCTACTCCTCATTCTGAGGAAGGGAGACCAGACCTGAAACATTAACTCTGATTTTTGTCTTCTGAGATGCTGCCAGATCTGCTGAGCTTTTCCAGCAACTTCTGTCTTTGTTCCTGATTTACAGCATCCACAGTTCTTTCGGTCCCCTTACCTGCTTACCTGTAAAATAAGATTTTTAACCTTAACTGGAGTCAACATGTAAGACAGAGATGGGTAAGAATTTCTTCTCTCAGAGGGTATGAATCTGTGGAATTTGTTACTGAAGAGGACTGTCAAGGCTGGATCATTAGACACATTCAAGGTTGAGGTAGACAAACTTTTAATCAGTAATAGTTATGGGGATCATGCAAAAAAGGAGAATTGAGGATTACCAGAGCAGCCATGCTCTGAGAATGGCAGAGCAAACTCAATGGGCTGAATGGCCTACTTCTGCTCTGACATCATATTGTCTTAACTCTGGTTCTTTGGTCAATCATGATCCTGAAAGAGGCAACTTTCTACTTATGTACTCTGTTAAGACACTTCATGATTTTGAACACCTCCATTCAAACTCACCTTAACCTTCTGTGCTCCAAGGTTATGAACTGCCGCTCTGTCATCTGTTCACTGCTACCAGTTGGTCACAACTGTTGTTGGTAACTGTCTGGTACATCAGTACTTCTGGTTCATACTGTAGACATCCGCTCTCACTGCAATTTATTCTTTTTTCCCAATATGATGTCTGTACCCTTTTAACTGTTATGATCCCAGCTGATACTATTAAGGGACAAGTCAGGTCTTGTATAGACACTAAGTCTGAGTGACTGAGTGACTCAAAGCTTGGGTTATAAAATCTTTACAAGTTGTAAAGATTTTAATCATCATGTGTTTCAGGACCTGCTAAAGACTGGTTTAGATTGGATGAATGAACGAGTGAGTGATAAGATTTGCTTTCAATGTAGTGAGAATATAGGGAGGAAAATCTATGGGAAGATAAGATAATAGGACAGGAGTGAATCTTGGATAGAGATGGACTCCTAAGAGTTACAATTTGTTGAGGGGGAAAGCTACCGAAAGAGAATGGAGTCACAGAGTTGTACAGCATGGAAACAGATCCTTTAGTCCAAATATCCTAAATTAATCCAGTCCCAATTGCCAACATTTAGCCCATCTCCCTCTAAACCCTTCCTATTCATATACCCATCCAGATGCCTTTTTAAATGTTGTAATTGTACCAGCCTCCACCACTTCCTCTGGCAGCTCATTCCATATGCACACCACCCTATGCATGAAAAAGTTGCCTCTTAGGTCCATTCTAAATCTTTCCCCTCTCACCTTAAACCTATGCCCTCTAGTTTTGGATTCCCCCACCCTGGAGAAAAGACCTTGGCTATTCACCCTATCCATGCCACTCATGATTTTATAAACCTCCATAAGGTCACCCCTCAGCCTCATACACTCCAGGGAAAATAGACCCACCTATTCAGCTTCTCCCTATAGCTCAAACCCATTCTTGTAAATCTTTTCTGAACCCTTTCAAGTTTAACAACATCCTTCCTATAGCAGGGAGACCAGAATTGAACACACTATTCCAAAAGTGGCCTAACCAATGTCCTGTACAGCTGCAACATGACTTCCCAACTCTTGTACTCAATGCACTGACCAATAAGCTTTTTGGAGACAACTGCAGTGATGAAACCAAGGTGGTGAATTCACTTAAAGACATAGGAGGTATTAAGAACAAGAACACTGATCAACGAGAAGAATTACAAATGAAATTGTTGCTGAAAGTTGTAACCTTTTTTTATCTTGCAAAACTAAGATAAACTAAAACTAAAGAAGTGAAAGAAAAATACTTTCATTGCCCCTGAATGGTGTACAGAGAGAATTAGGATATAATAGTTCAACCGTTAAACTGTAATGACTGATAGCAATGAAAAATGTGGGCAAAATCAACAGTAAAATAACTTGCATTCATAAAGCACCTTCCACAACCTCAGGTTGTGTGGTTGTAATGGAGGGAGAGATGATAACCAATTTGCATAAAGTGCAAATTGAAACATGATAATCATCAGAGTGCAGGGGTAGTTCATAGCTCTCCCACTAGCTGTACTCAAGGTAGTAATTCTTGGATTCAAATCCTACTCCAGAACCTGTTGCATATGAAAGAATCCAAATCAGGGTGCCGATCTCAGCCTGGGTAAGTGGAGACAATTAGCTGCAGAAACAGCATCTAGCTTTAAAACCACCTGCCGAGTCAAAAAAAAACTGCTATGAAAATGATTAGCCAGCATTTGTGGTAACCCCATGTGACATAGGAAAGATTGAAAGGGGAACCACATAAGCACAAATTGAATTTTTTTCATTTTTAGAAAGTATCATATCCTTAACAATAAAATGTTAACAAAATAATTATACTTTTGAAAAACAAGAAATGCATCAACTGATTGCACAAGCACTAGGGAACACAAATGTGAGAGCAATAGATAAGTGGGGAGATCTGAGAAAGCACATTTTAGCTCAATGATATTAGAATCATAGAATCCCTTGCATGTGGAAGCAGGTCATTTAGCCCATCGCGTCCACAGCTACGCTCCAAAGAGCATTCCATCCAGGCTCACTCCTATCCCTCTAACCCTGCACTTCCCAGGCTAATTCACCTAATCTACACATCTTCAGACTGTGGGAGGAAACTGCACCACATTGTTTCTATGCTTGCTTAAAACATGCACCATTCTGTAACGTTTTTCAGCTTGATATAATCCCTACAGTGGGGAAGAAGGCCATTCAGCTCATTGGGTCCACACCAACCCTCTGAAGAGCATCCCACCCAGACCCATTTCCCTACCCTATATTTCCCATGGCACATTCACCTAACCTGCACATCCCTGGTCACCATAGGCAACTGAGCATGGCCAATCCACCTAACCTACTCATCTTTGGACTGGGGGAGGAAACTGGAGCAAACCCATACAGACATGGGGTGAATGTGCAAACAGTCACCTGAGAGTGGGATTGAAACCGGGTTCCTGGCACTGTGAGGCAGTAGTGCTAACAGTTGAGCCACTGTGCTGTCTGCAGTGAGTGGTAATGATCTTTAGTACTTGCTGCCTATGAAGCAGAGATAGATGACTGATTTCAAGGAGCAACGAGACAGTTGATGAGTTTGCAGGGCCACATAGATGGAGTAGGGAAATGGGACTGAATGGATTGTTGTGCAAAGAGCCAGAATGCATTTGAGGGGCTGCATGGCCTCTTTCCTCATCATTATGACTTAAGATGCAAAAGGGATTGTCCACCCTATGTTCCTGGAGGTGTCATCAGGTGATCTCCTGCCACTAATGATCCCGAACTTCTGTAATGTCCATCTCTATGGCAAACAGCCTTCCACACCATCTTTCTGACATTTTTTTTACTCACAACAAATGATCAAAGGTGCTGAAAATAAAAAAAAACTAAATACTCCACCCTCTATCATTTTTCACCCTAGTTGTTTTGTTTATTTTTTGCAGCAGTATGCTGAAAATATGTTTTCTGTTGTTGTTGTAAGTTCACCAAACCCACAGGGGTCTAGGATTGTCCGGGGAAGTGGAGGAGGGGGAACCTTTGTTCCGGGGCTTCTGAGTTCCAGTCGGAGCGGTTCAGCGGCCGGACCCCCGGATTGTCGGTCCGTCTCCGTTGTCGGTCCGCCGAGGAATGGGGCGGGAGGAATGGCGGCGGCGGTTGCTGATGTTGGTGCTGCAGGCGGTGAACCGGCTTCTGCGGCAGCGGCGGCTTCACGGGGCCCTGGCGGCCGTCAAGGGATTCCGCAATGGGGTCGTGTGAGTGCGGGGGCCGGGCCGCTGGAGTTAGGGCAGCAGGGACTTGCGTTTACATAGCGCCCCTCGCAACCACTGGCCGCCTCAGTGAGCTCTCTGACCTCCCCCAGATCACTTTTTTTTTTATTTTTGGTTCCCCACCGCGACCCCCATTTGGAGAAAGTGGTCACGACCCCCCATGGGTGAAATCTGAGGGTTGTGTGGGGGTGGGGGTGGGGATCCTCTGTTAGTGAGGTCCTGTCTCTTGGTGCAGGACACAGAGGTTAGAACTCAGTCAGAGCTCACTTAGAGGCCTTTGCTGCCTTGTGGACCTCACAACTTCAAAATATTAGCTCATGACCCCCGCCCTTTTGTGACTTTGTAAAGTCTTGCCATAGAATTGGTGATATTCTCCTTAAGAATTTTCACCCTGAGGGTGGTGGGTGTCTGGAATTCAAGCCCTGGTTCAGTCGTGGCAGAAACCCTCAACTTGAGCTGAACCTGAAGTGCTATAACTTCGAAAGGCTATGGACTATGTCCTGGAAGATGGGATTAGAATGGGCAGCATTTTTCATGGGCTAAATGGCCTTTTCTGTGGTTCTTTGCATCTTCCTGATGAAGTCTCTCTGTTTGTTCCAGAAGTGAGTCTTGTCCATTTTAGTCAGTCACGATCTCATGTCAGCTTGCAATCACTGTTGTAACAGGAAAAGTGGCAGCTAATTTGCACTCAGTAATAATCAGCAATGTGATAATAACCAGGTTATCTATCTTTGTGATACGGTTCAGGGGTGAATATTGGCCAGTACACCAAGGAAAATTGCTCTACTGTTCAAAATAATGCCCCACTCACCCAAAAGGCCAGATAGGTCTTCGGGTTAGCATTTCATCTTAAAGATGGTGCCTTCGTCATTGAAATGAGTGGTCCCTCAGTACAGTGTTGGAGAATCATCCTGATTTTGGTGCTGTAGCCCTGGAAAGGGACTTTAGCCTGTGATCCAAAGGTAGGTATGCTACTGTCTGAACCAAGACTGGCCCATTCAATCAAAAATACACACTGAAAGGATGTTAGTATGGATAACTGTATGTAGATGGCACATAGGGGAGGAAGAGTAAGCAAGGAAGAGGTTTTAAAGATTGGCATTCCCAGAGAACGTGAACAAGATGTTTGATGGGGAGAGACGCACATCCTGGGTTTCCTAAGTTTTGCTTATGCCCCTACTAGCTTAACATTGTCTGGCAATCAAACACCTGTTCGACTTAGTAGACAAATGCGTTGCAATAAATGCAATTGAGACACTGGACTGTATGTTTGTTCATAAATCAAGTATAAATAGCTTTGTTAAACGTAGCATTGTTTTGGAAGGATTATTTATGATGAATTGGTTTGAGCTCTGGTTTCTCCATTGGTATTTGGGTTGTCATAGCAATGGTTGTTAGATTAACAGACTGAATTTATTTTACTTATTGAAGCCTGTGACTCGAAGAATATGCTGTGGCAGAGTTCTGTAATGCTTTTGAAGAATATGTGCTCATCTGAGGAAACCACACCAGCTGCAAGCTTGCCTGATTGAATTTGGGATGTTGTGGATAAATTACCCCAAGGCTATCTTTAATTTGAATACCTTTTAAGAAATTTCACAGACAATCAAATGCTGAATGAAATATTTCAACTTTATTGCAAGTAGCAACCAAAATAAGACCTCTCAAGTGATCAAATTAAACCTCACAACCCAGCTTAGCTATTACCTGATTAATGGTGGAATTCAGCTACGATTCCAACAAACAGTGACTATCGCTGGATCTGTTCAGGTTCTGATCTTTGTGCAGTGTTGTTCACTAAAGTTCTGCTGCTGAAGAGTACAAAAGCTGAATCCTTACAGGATCTTTCGTCTTGTTGAGTTTGTAGAGTGACATTATTTATGTCACTTTCGGAGCCATGAAGTCTGTAGCTTGCCTTTTTATCAGGAGTAAAAGCCAACTGCTCTCAACTTAGCTTCTCTGTTACTGTTTTAAATCAACCTATTCAGAACAGATAGCTCCTGGTCCAGAGGTAGGGGCAGTGCCACTGCAATAGGTTCTTATGGTGCTGTGGTATTATCCCTACCTTTGGTCCAGGAACCGTCTGTTCGAAGCATAGCCTACCCTGCCATTAGCTCCTTACATTTTTCTGCAGGGCAATCTTTTGTCCTTGTGGTATAAGGCAACCAGTTACCAAGCAGTTGTTAAAAGATTTGCCTATGTAGCTTCAATGACTGCTTTTCCCAGCATTGTTAATTAGTGTATGGCTTTTAATTTTTTTTTGTCCCTTTATATCAGGAAACAGTTTATTCCAGAAAGAATTATTGATGATTCTTTCAATCTGTGAACAGTTATTAAAGTTCCGAAGTTTACATAGTCACAGGTATCTTCTATATTCAGGTTTCAGGTGTGGCACATGATGGAAACTTAAAAACCATGTTGTAACTACTCAGCTTTTTTGTTAGTATATAGTTCTGTATTCCGGAGGAGAGTTTACACCTCTGACAGTGTTTTGAGGTTTCAAAAGGCTTCTAAATCAATCATGCAAAAAAAAGCAATAAAATCATTCTAAAGAAAAGTCATGGCAGATGTGAAACATTAACTCTGTTTCTCTCTCCACAGATGCTACCAGACCAGTTGTGTTTCTCCAGCATTCTCTGTGTTTGTTCTAAATTGATCAGTTTAGTTTAGCCAGTTTTCGCTCAAGTTGATAATGCTTGAGCGACATGAATACAGAGTTTGGACAGACACTGCATTGTGGGTATTGGCATCTTTCAGATGAGATGCTAACCTGCAAGCACGCTTAGCTTCTCACGCGGCCTTAAAAGATCGCCTAGGTAGCATTTGAACAAAAACAAGGGAGTTCTACCTGCTGTCCTGTTCCAATATTTATCCCTAAACCATTGTCACAAAAATTGGATATCTGATGATCACATTGCTGGTGGTTTGTATATGGAATGAACTGCCAGAGGAAGTGGTAGATACATGTACAGTGACAACATTCAAAAGACATTTGGATAAGTACATGAATAGGAAAGGTTTAGAAGGATATTGGCCAAGTGCAGGCAAATGGGACTAGTTTAGTTTGGGAAACTTGGTCAGCATGGGCGAGTTGGTCTGAAATGTCTGTTTCCATGCTGTACAACTCTGTGACCATATTGCTATGTGTAAGAATTTGCTACTGTGTATCCTACCTTACAACCATGACTTCATTTCAAAAGTACTACCTCAGCTTTGGGATTTCTTTGAGTCATTAAAGGTGCTATATAAATGCAAGTTTCTTTTTCATTGGACTACCTGTAACCTTAAACTCTGAAGCTAGTGACAGGTAGCTCAAGGTGTGCTCTCCACACACAACTTAAATTCCAAAGGGTAGTAGAATCTGTAACATAATTGTGTAACTTCACTGAATGCAATAAAACTCATTTGTGTTGTTCATTATGTGTTATTAAGGAGCAGAACTGAAACCTGGATGTGCAGGAATGATATCTTCTCACCTTATCACCTTCTCAAGGGCAGCTGGGGACGGGCAATAAGTGCTGGCCAGCAAGCGATGCAAAAACATCCCACAAATGAATCAGAACAATTCCTAACAAGATGTACCTAAAAGCTAGTTCTTTAGTTGTAAAACAAGTGGAGCTCAAATACAGACAGCACATTTTCATTTACTAATCAGTCAGTGCTCGCCTTTGCCCATATTTTCCCTCCCATGCCAAAACCCCTCTCGTTTATGTCCTCTTAGTTGGATGTCAGTGTTACTGACAAATATCTAAAAGTAGAATTGGGCACAGCTGAAATGTTGGTGAGCATGTACAACCCCAAGTTTCAATAGAAAAAAGTTCAGATCTGATGTTAAGAATAAAATTTGTTTGTAACTTGCTGGAAGTTGGGCATAATGTTTGTATGTGTGAGAGAGAGAGACACCCCTCTTTGTTCTTCAGGGGAATCACAGGCTTAAGTAGTTCTCTCAAAAGATAGAACATAACAAACCTGCTTGGTCAGTGAGACCCCACTTCCATTTTGGTATTGGCTTTCATCTTTGTTTTCTTCTAGGGTTGGCCTCTGTGATTACGCTCCCCTTCTGCTTAATGTTGATCTTTTGCACAGGACAGAAGATCTAAGTTGTCCTGAGATTAGAAACTGGCGTCAGTCATGGGATTTCTGAGTTTGGCAGGGGAAAGAGATAATTCTGTGTGAAGAGGGTAGAGGTCTCCACAGCTGTAGCAGGGGGTTCTTTTGGATGGAGGTAGATGAAAATTAAGCCTGGACAATGAGTATCTTTTATAAATGCATTCTTGGGGAAATGGGTATTACCAGCTTTGTGGTAAAGACTCCAGAGTGGCTTGCAGATCTTGCCAGCTTTGTTTGTGCATATTGACTTGCATGCCTTTTTATCTTTTGTAACTAGGTATGGAGCCAAAATCCGAGCCCCACATGCATTTGTGATGACATTCCTCTTCAAAAGTGGAAGGTACGGCTGCTTGCATGCTGTCTATACGTTGTCATCGTTGCTACTTTGTCCATTTCCATTCAGAAAACTAAAACAGCTAGTAATTCGAAGGGATTTGGATTTTTTTCGGTTAAAAAAAATGTGAAGTTCATTTTCACTGTCAGCCATGGCTCAGTAACACTCTGAGTCAAAAGATCCTGTGTTCAAGTCCCGTTGTAGTACGTGAGAACTGAACAAGCTAGCAATCCCTGGTCATTACTGAGGGAGTGTTAAATCTGCCAGTCCTTCAGATGAAATGTTGAACTGAGATCCCATATACCCTCTCAGGAGGGTGGTAAAGATCTCATGCCAGTGATTTGGAGAAGAGTAAGGGAGTAAACCTTGATGTCCTGGGAGCACTTGTCCCTCAAACAACATCAGATCACTCTTATGGAAGCTTGCTATGTCTAAGTTGGCTGGTGTGTTTCCTGTGTTACAATGGACCCCTGGCTGTAAAGGTGATTTCAAACATTGTGTGGGTATGAAAGGCAGGTTTTTATTTTACTTCATTCAATCAGACCTTTCACTGTAGGAGTTGGGATGCCATGCGGAGGTTGTACAGGATGTTGTTGAGGCCCCTTCTGGAGTACTGTGCGCACTTCTGCTTGTCCAATTAAAGGAAGAATATTATTAAATTGGAAAGGGTTCAGAAAAGATTTACCAGGAGGTTGTTGCGAATGGAAGTTTTGAGATATAAAAAGTGACTGGAAAGACTGAGACTTTTTTAACTGGAGCGTAGGAGGTTGAGGGGTGACCTTATGTTTTTAAAATCATGAGGGGTGTCGATAAGGTGAATGATATGGGTCTTTTCCCTTGGGTGGGTGAGTTCAATACTAAGGGGCATATTTTTAAGGTGACAGGGGAAAAATTTAAAAAGGACATGAGAGACAACATTTTTTTACACGGAGTGGTTTGTATGTGGAATGAACTGCTAGAGAAAGTGGGGTACAATTACATTTAAAAGACATTTGGATAAGTTCATGAAAAGGAAAAGTTTAGAGGGATATGGGCCAACTGCAGGCAGGTGGGACTAGTTCAGTTTGGGAACATGGTCGGTGTGGATTGGTTGGACTGGAGGGTCTGTTTCTGTGCTGCATGACTCTGTGAATAAGTTGGCTGGTGTGTTTCCTGTGTCACAATAGAACCCTGGCTGTAAGGTGATCACAAAACATCCTATAGGTATGAAAGGCAACTTTTTCACACAGTTCTGTTAGTGAGGGTGTTCCAAGATTTTGACCAGCGAAAATGAAGGAATGGTGATATGGTTCCAAGTCAGGTTGGTGTGTGACTTGGAAGAGAACATGCAGGTGATGTGTTATGAATATGGTAAAAATGGATTATCAATTTTCAACTTCCGTCATCTAATTTTTAATGCCTGAGATATTTCATGTAGTAAAATGGTTTTAGATAATCCAACCACAGTTTGAGCCTGTTCATGAGACCATCAATAAACAAGACTTAATCTGAACTGAAATTAACAGGTCATCAAATGATTGAAATCAGACAATCAGCTTTGTATCTCCTGTTTGATTTACACCTCTGTGGAAATTTCACATATCAGATGAAAGTCATTTGCAGAATATCAAGCTTGAGGGGGGAAACATCAAGCTCGACACAGCAACACAAAAGGAACTGTATTTCAGGTGACAGTTTGGTTAGGGAGAGAGGGAAGAAATGGATTTGTAATAGCAGAGGTGAAAGGCTTGTTTTCTCTCTCAGCCTCTTGAGAAACAGCAACCTGTGATAAAGCAAATTGAAGAAACATCCATTCGCCAAGAACTCAAGGATACCTACAAATTTTGCCACTGCTGAGGACACAAGGATATCTGTCACAGGTTTGGAAGCTGAGTTGGTGCAGTGGCGATGGTACACGCTGCTGCCACAGTGCATCAGTGGCGCAGGGAATGAGCATTCAAGGTATTAGATGGTAGTCAACCAGGCCGTTTTGACCTGGATGATATTGAAATTCTTGAGTGTTGTTGGAGCCACACTCATTCAGGCAAGTGGAAAGTATTCTGTCACACTCCTGATTTGTACCTTGTAGATGGTGCAATGATTTTGGGGAGACAGAAAATGAGTTACTTGCTGCAAAATCTCAGCCTCTGACCTGCTTTTGTAGCAACTGTGTATAAGTTTACCCTGGATGACTGGTGAAGTTCTGTTTCTGGTTAATGGTAACCCCATGATGTTCATAGCTGGGGGGTGGCAGAGTTTAGTGATGGTAATGCCTTGAATGTCTAGGGAAAATGATTGTTGAAGATAGTCATTGCCCAGCACTTGTATGCTGCACACGTTACTTCCAGAGCTAGTTTTATTAATGTAACTCTTGCCAAGCCTCACCGTTGATCTTAAATGTTGAAGCTTCTTTGCACGAGTCCTGCACGGACACTGGCTGCACTCTGCACATTACTGACCATTGTTCCTTTTTTATTCTATCTGAGCGTAACCTGGAGGTTCCCCTTGGGCTGATTGCAAGTCAGATCAGCACCTGTAAGTTATCACACAAAATAATTTAAAGGTCCCACAAGCTTATGAAAACAGACTGTAAGAAACAAAAAATAGCAAATTGAATGGAATGTTGCTAGCGACCAGTTCGTTGGTTTCCTTTTTAAAAATAGTTGCCTTGAGATTCTTTATGACATACTGATGGGCCGTGTGGCATTTATAAGTTGCACTTGTATGGAGTGTCTGCATTTGTTGTCCTATTTTGAGCTTCAGGACCAATTCTCAATCCATTTTCAGGGCAGGAGTTGGGCCAGACCATATGCGAAGCAGCCAGTTGAAGAGCAGCTTAGATCTGGAATTGTCACTATCCTTTCAAAATTCTGGTACCAGATTAAATTCAGACGCAGGAAACTTGGCCAGCCGATGGGTTGGTGAAGCTTGATAAGGGGAGTAAGTGTTAGGATTATTTCTAATGATTATTTTGATGTGTTCAGTCTATTAGACAAACTGAAGGCCATCGGACAAGCCACGTACACTCATTCCCGAAACCTGGCCATATTCGTCTTCCTCTACAAGGGGCTGCTGGCTGCACAGCAGTGGCTGCAGGGTGAGAAGGTGCAGTTTCACTCGTTCTTGGCAGCTTGTGTCGGGGGCTGGTTTGTGTTTGGAGACAACAACCACATCAACAGCCAGGTAAAAGGGAAAAGAGATCTTTGCTTCGATGTTTTCTACCTGTATCTGTAGAAATGAGGAGGATAGGGTTTGTGCTTGAAAGTTTTACTTCGGAACTGAAGAACATAGGAACAGGGGAGCCATTCAACCCTTTGAGTCTGCTCTGCCATTCAATATCATGGTTGACTGATCACTTCAATGCTTCTCACCCTCACTCTCCCCTTAAGCTTTTACACTATTGATAATCAAACATTTATCAACCTCTACTTTTTAAGTTTACTCACACTGAGGTTTCACAGCCCTCTGGAGTAGAGCATTCCAAAGATTCACTATCATCTGAGTAACAAAAAAAAAACTATCCCCATCTCAGTACAAAGTGGCATGCCCTTATTTTTAAATTGTGTCTCCTGATTCTAGACTCACCAGCCAGGGGAAACATCTAACCTGCATCTATCCTGTCTGTCCCTTTCAGTATTTTGCAAAATTCAATGTGATCATGCCTCATCCTTTGAAACTACAGGCCCAGTTTACCAAATCTGTTTTTCATGGGACAGTCCCGTTGTCCCCTGAAAACGTTTGGTGAACCTTCGTTGCTCTCCCTCCATGCCAATGTTGTGTTTTCTGAGATAAAGAAACCAAAGCTGCATACAGTATTTCATGTGCAATCTAACCAAGCTCCTACACAATTGAAGAAAGATTTCACTTCTGCTGTACTCATCCTCTTGCAATAAAGGCTAACATTCCATAAGTTTGCTTGTAGCTTGTTGCACCTTTATGTTAGCCTCCAGTGACTTATTGACACGGACACCCTTTGTACATCTACACTTTCCAACCTCTCAATATTTAAGAAATATTCTGCCCATTTGTTCTGACTAAAGTAGATAACTTCATGTTTTTCCACCTTATATTCTACTTGCTAGGCTCTCGCCCAATCACCTAAGCTTGTCCAAATTGTCCTGAAACCGTTTAACATACTCCTTGGGATTCACGTTCCTGTGTGGCTTTCCAAATTTGGAAATATTACATTTAATCCCATGTCTGGATCACGGATATATATCGTGAACAGCTGGGGCCCATGTTCTGAGCCAAGCAGTACCCCTTTATTCACGGCCTGTCATTGTGGTTTATTCCTATTGTCTGTTTTCTGTTTGTCAACCAGCTCTGAATCAAAACACTATTGTATCTTATTTACTTGCTTTTCATTCCTTTTTCCCTAAAGGTGACGTTTTCCGCTACCAGCTGTGGCATCTCATCCAATTCTTCAATTATATCATAATGATTAACCATACAGGGTTATTCTTTATGTAATGTATAAAGTATTTTTATTCGTATATATAAAATTAATATCTTGGCCAATATTTATACCTCAACTAATCTCATTAAAAGCAAAGTATCTGGTCATGGCTATTTATGAGAGCTTGCTGTGTGCAAGTTGACTGGTGTGTTACCTTATTGCTGCAGTGGCTACATATTTTAAAAATAACTTCATTGGGTGTAAAGTAGTGTTATATAAATACAAGTCTATCTTAATGGTTTAACCAGTGCTGCCATTACTGTTGATAGGCTTTACTTGTTATTTATATGTATTTTTTGTTTAATTTTTATATTAAGATATAATGTAGAAGATATGCCTCAGAACTTTAGGACCAGTTGGATAATTTCATGATTACTGAAACCGTGGCCCTTGGATCACAGTGCCTGAAAATCTGTTGAGGACCTGAGAGATGGATGCTAAATCTTAGACAGCCTTCAATTTTTTTTGTTTTCTTCTGTCAGTGGGGGAACTGTTGGTGTTGCACTGTTGTACAACACTCCATCCATTCAGTAGACTCTTGTCTGGGTGCTTTTGGATTTGATATTGAAATTGTATAACCCTGGTTAAATGTTCTGCCCAGCAGGTGTGATTACAGCAGCATCTTTGCTTTTCTCTCAAAATTAACTCACTTTTGCGGTCTCCAAAGTGTGGCTAAATTCAAGCGCCCCCCCATGTCTGTTGTAACCTACTTGTCTTTTTGATAGCCATCACCCTGTAACTTTTCCTTTTGTCTATGTAACTTCTGTTTCACCACAGATAAACATGTACCTGCTGTCCCGAGTTCTGTTTGCTCTTTCACGACTGGCCGTTGAGAAAGGTTACATCCCTGAGACAAAGCGAGACCCTTTCCCGCTCTTCGCCATGTTGGTGTGGGGTGTTGTCCTGTGGCTGTTCGTGTACCATCCGCACACACTGCAACCATCGCTTCAGTCCTCCATGACCTACCTCTATGAAGATAGCAATATCTGGCATGATATATCGGACTTTCTCATTTATAACAAAAGGAGCACTGACAAATGAGTGGACTTCTGTTTTGAGGAAAGCAACATTTTAGCAGGATGATATTTCTGTTAATTTTCTCCTCTGTCCTGAAGATGCCATTTGGTGTAAGTGATTTAACAACAGGTTTGACCCATCGGCTAGCAGGAGTCCCTGACAGCCGGATATATGCGTGTAATTTTGGAAGCACTCAGTCTGTATGTAAAAAACATTTGTCCCTCAAAAAGTGAATGAAGCACAATGAACTTCCTTGTCCTTGATTTAATATGGTTGCTGCTGGAGGATTTCATCTAGCCTGGTAACCGTTGCTGCTGTGTTTGAGCAAGAGTTGTGGCTTAGGTTCATTTCCAACATCTTGACTCTCATTAACACTGCTTTACAAATCAGTCATCACTAACTGTGATCACTAGATCAGATGGGCTTACTGTTATTTTTGTTTATCTCCAAATCCATCTTGGAACACTTAGGCCTATCAGACGTTGACAAGTTGATGGGGTGGGGAGAGTGTAGAACAACCTCATTGGGCCCACAAACCTGCTGCTGTTTAAAACAGCTGAGCCTTTTGTCATTTAGAAGAGACAAAACTGCCCACTTCACTGAAGAAGTAGCAAGAGCAAATTGATTACCAGCTAGTGCATTAATCCTTGTAATCTATGCAGGGCTTTTGTCTAAATGCAGCATAACTTCTGCTCCCTTATATGCTTGTCATTTAAATATACTGCCAGCATTCCATTCGCCTTTTTCTCTACCTGAAGTAGCTGAAGTTCTAATGATCCATTGTAAACTTCAGTCTATTCATAACTGTGCCCTAACGTGCGCCAAGTCTTGTTCCCCTGTTAATCCTGCTGGTGACTGACCTGCATTGGCTTGGTCTTGATTTTAAAATTCTCATCCTAGTTTTCTAATCCTTCCAAGGCCTTATCCCTTCCTTTTTCTATAATCTCCTTCAGCCCGGAGCCCTCCAAAATATCTGTGCTTATCTAATTCTCCCCCCACCAAGCATGCTCAGTTTTAATCACTGTGTCATTGGTGGTTGAGCTTAGTTTCCCCGGTCCCAAGCTCTGCATTGTGCTCCCTTCCAACCTTTCCAACTCACTTGCTTCTTTTAGGATAGTTCCATAAAAGCCTACTTCTTTGATCAAGGTTTAGATCATTAGACCTAATATCTCCTTATGTGGCTCAGCATCATGTTTTTTGTAATGCTTCTGTGAAGTGCCTAGGGAAGTTTTAAATGTTATAGGTCTTTAATTGATACTTAAAGTATCAGATATATTTATGTAGAAGTCAACTTTCTAACTTTACCATATATATGTGAGCAATAGTCAATCTCATTTAGAAATTGATGCCTGACATATAGCCAAAAAGTTAAAAATCTGAGTAATTGCAACTTGCCCACCATTGAAGTCAAACTATCCCCGAAGCGAGCCTAATTGATGGAATCATAGAACAGCACACCATGGGTGTTCAGCTGCTCGTGCCTGTGTACATCAATATGTACTGTCACGGCCAACCCCTCACTGGTGTATGCTGCGTCCAGCGCTCTAATGTGGCAAAGTTGCATAAAGAAGGAACAGCAGAACAACAGAAGATATCAAGGAAAGCAGGTAGTCAGGCAGATTTTAAAAAAAAACTTCCTGCTGAATGGAAAGTTAAGGACCTGATGCAGGGTCTTAGAATTGGAAACAGACATTTCTGGGGTTAAATTAGGAAACACATCTAGGCACAGTGGGGGGGTAGAATTTTTAAAATCTCTTTTACAAATGGCAATTAATGCTAAATGCATTGTTTGTCTGAGTTGAGATTGATGGATATGGGACAAAGAGCTGAGTTGCAGATCAATCAAGATCTAAATGAATGGCAGAACATGAACCAGGGGCTGATTGGCCAATTCCTGTTCTTACAAATGCGTACATCACTCCTCATTTTTAATCCAGCCTCCGTTTTATGATTCAGAGATAGTAGGAACTGCAGATGCTGGAGAATCTGAGACAACAAGGTGCAGGGCTGGATGAACACAGCAGGCCAAGCAGCATCATAGGAGCAGAGAGGCTGACGTTTCGGGCCTAGACCCTTCATCAGAAAAGGGGGAGGGGAAGGGGGTTTTGAAATAAATAGGGAGAGAGTGGGA